AAATATCCGAATAGAAATAGAATATTTTGAAATTTCGAATGGGAATAAGATGAAATCTGAATAAGAAGGACGAATATATCTTAAAAATCCGAAAATGAAAGGAAGAATATTTAGAAATATCCAATATGAGATATATCAAATAATGAACTATATGAGGCCTCAGAAATCAGAGAGATATAATATAATCTCACAAAGGAAGGAAGCATCTGTTCCCAAAAGCAGGTGCAAATGGCATCTGTCCCCAAAAGCACCAATTAGAATCCCCGAAAGATTCCAAAAGAGAGATTTATGTTCGGTCATTTCCAAAAGGAATTCTTTTATCAATATCTTCCCCACGAATCCACAAATTCTCTTCCATACATTCAAACGCCCACCACCACCCCGAATTAGAAAAACATTGAGAGACTCGTATCACGATCCCATGCAAATCGAGACCCCAGAAAATGATCATGGACCCGGCCAACTCAACCAACTCTTGGCTCACTCAATAGGCAACAATCTTACATAAAAGGGATCATCCTGACAACAAACCATCGCATCTAAGACCCATAAACCCTATCATGAATCTCACAAGCCGAACTATCACCACAAGTCTGCGTATACGCCCAATATTGCTTCTGAAATATAAGATACAACCTTCTTTGCAATTCAATCGAGATTTGAATACGTAATGTGCGTTGGGTACGACCCTTCTGCAATCCCTCTTTCATATCGATCGTCTCGTAAATCATTCTCAAGTGGCGTTGTCCTTCCAAGATCAACCCCGATAATCGGTTCATACCCCATATTCATGGTTTCGCTCCATTTCCCATAATCTTTCAAATCGAACTTATACTTCGTATACGAATTTGCCGTTGAAAACTCCATACTCGCTGAAACAGCCAAGTTCACTATTTTTTGATTTTAGTCTAGCGCCCATCTATTTTTAGAAAATTACAATAAGAAAGTTAGAATTAATATCGACACATATCTCTTCCTTTCTTCGAAATTAGATAAGATGAATTCTTAAATTATTTCCATCATTCAGATTCCATAATTTCAAGATTTTTTCGTCCTTCATATTCCATCATTGCCAGAAAATTCAATCTTTCCCAATCATCCTTTTTTTTAAGATTCCTCCGTCCCTCATATCCCATCATTCCCGAAATATTCCATCATTCTTCGTGTTTTTCCATCTTCCTCCCATCTTAATCGGTCGTAAAGAATTTGATCCAAACATCTTTTCTTTAGAGATTGAAACCCAACAATATGTATTGGGAATTAGAATTCCAAGATTGGAGTGTCGAGAAATAGAAGAAGAAGCATAAAGCTCAAACAAGCACAAGAAAAAATCGTTCAACAGAATGAAATCCTCAAAATCAAAAGCGCGTGAAACATGACCGAGAAAGAGGATATCAAGAAGAAAAAACATAATTATGAAAAGATAGATTTTCTGAGCGTAAAATTCGAAAGCCCTTTGGCATCAATTTTTTGAGCGAATTTGATTTTTTCAGTAAAGAATCTATGAAGAGAAGGTTTTGAGAACCGAATTCAATTTTTTTCAAGAAAGAATTTGAAGATTGCGAGAAAGGTGACACCTATTTAGATCAAGGCCAGCGTATGAAAAAGGTTGGTCCCACCCCAAAACGGCTCTCAAGTCACAAGAAGTGGAATGGTTGCTAGTACTATGAATGAAATCAATGAAAGATTCGTGTGCTTTGGGCAGGAGAACGTTCGCACCTGAGAATGTGTCTCGACATTCTTAAGCCGCCTCACTGCCAGGAGTGGTGGAAGCCTCTTCCATTGAGCTGCCTGGATCAAAGCCAAGTTCAGCAACAGCAATGGCCATTTGCCAACAGACATCTGTGGCTAATCAGTATCGGTGTATTCAAACCGCTGAGGAAAGAAACTCTCCGCATCCCTCACATTCATGCACCTTGTGTCAAGGTGGATGCTGCCACCTTCAGACGGGCCTTAGCCAGGTGACAGAGTGCTTCGACTCAGCGTCTTAGTGACTTAGTGGGGATTCGTGGTGATCGTGGAACGTTCGGACATGAACAGGGCAAAACATGTTTTCTGACAGCTAACAGATTTGGATGTGCAACAGCATCGGGATCACAACATGCGCCAGTTTGGCACACGGATCCATTCTTTCGCAGCTCAAGCGCGAACGTTCAAAACAGTTGAAGGGCTTGCATGTTGCATGCCCCACTGAATTCTTGGATGAGCACATAGTCCCACCATACGGTCCAAAGCTGCTGAGGCGATGACAGCATACTCACATTTTGTCATGCTGGAAACCTTTGTCGTCGAACTTACTTCGATTCCCAGCAGGTCAGCTGAGGAGCTCCATCTTTCTTTGGAGAGGCTAAGGCCCAGCACGTGCGAAGGGGCCAACAGGAACAACAAGTCTGAAGCTAAAGGTCTGAAGTGTCTGGGAAGAGCCCCATCGCCAGCACATTTTCGGCCGCCCCTCAGAATGGCGCTCTTCACCTGGGCGGACAGGATGAAATAGTCAACGGTCGAAGATGCGTCACCGTTTAGGAGTCTCATCATGTACTTGGGTGCTCAGCCAAATCGACTTCGGTGGACTCCTCCCGTAAAATCACCAGGCTGCGTATGTGTTGGGTTGTTTTTTTCTTAAGGGTACGCTTGCAGTCTTACCGTATCGAACCACACAGCGGACTCGGAGAGAGGCCTGCGCGGTGTAAGTGTATCCCTTGCTGCAAATGTTGCAGGACGAGTACATCTGGTACAATGTACTCGTCCTGCAACATTTGCAGCAAGGAATCTTTGGTGTACTGTTCTTGGTGTCACATTCGGCAATCCCTTGAACTGTAAAGTCGGATTCCGAGTGGTCAGTGCAACTTACTGCTGTACATCGAGGATGTCAAGGATTGGAATGCCCACTGAATCACCCAACATCACCCAACATCACCCAACTCCAATCCTACTCAAGTTTAGGGAGGCCGGCTCTCGAGCTTGAACTGGGAACCAGACTATGCTTGGCTGCTCGCAGGTCGGGGCTTGCGCTCACCTGAATTCTTGCAGCTGATGACGAATGTATCACACATTGGATGATTGAAGCAAATTCTGCCAGTCTTGGTCAAGTGCAGTACATCCTTGGATGGTCACATGTACAAGGTGCGAAGTGGAAACTCCCACGCGGCCGATGCGTTTTCCGAGATACGCTAGTATCACGGCATGAGGTCAGGAAGCAACAACAATGTAACGTATCTGTGCAAGCAGAACTGTGCCCGTACGCAGGGCCAGGGTCACGGTTTCACAGCCGGCTGCAGAGTAAAACCTCAAGCTCGCGGCCATCCATCGAGCTCTCTGGCCGATTTGCTGTGGCACTGGTGGAATGCGGCCTGTGTGCTGAAAGAACTCAAGCCATGACTCCACGCAGGCTGTAAGCACCATGGTCCAGCACATCAAAACACACACTCCCCAAGTCAATATTAACCAAGGAGAGGCACACACACACACACCCACCCACGCACGCACGTACGCAAAAACATGTCATGAATGCACAGCATTCAAAGAACTTCAGACTGCTTTCTATCTATCAGAAAGGACGAACCAATGCACAGCATCACAAAAGATTCTTCATGTCATGGAACTTCAGAAAAGGAAGCACATCCTAGGCACGGATGGTCCACACAGACATGCCCGGTCTGTGCCGGTTGTGTGCTTGTCTTTTGGCCCGCAGGGCCGTCCTGCAGACGGGACCTAAACCCGCGCATACGCACACTTACACACACGCACGCATGCGCGTGCACACACACACACTCACTCTCTCACTCTCTCACTCTCTCACTCTCTCACTCTCTCACTCTCTCACTCTCTCACTCTCTCACTCTCTCACTCTCTCACTCTCTCACTCTCTGACTTCCACTCCCATTCCCACTCTCACTCTCAGTCACACTCACTGCGTTGTGGCTCCTGCCTTGATGTGTTTGCTTGTGGCGTGAAAGGCAGTGACGGAAGCGTTCTTGGGCGTGTCGCTTCCTGGGAAGGGCTGACCTATGCTGACCTTCTTTTATCTTCATTCATCGTCACGTGGGACACGCAATCATATGGCCTTGTGTGCTGGCATCCCAGATTTGCCCTCGGCGACATGCTGCTCCGTGTCCTGTCAATGAATGGCCCGATCGGTGTTCGGTGTAGGAATGCTAGCGATGCCAAGTGCGGCACACTTGCAACCTCTTGCAACCCAGAACCAACCCAGAAGTACCAGTGTGGTGCCGTAGAAGCTTTCATACTCCTTCTCTGCCCGCAAACACGCATGAAAGCAACACAATTGAAGGCAGGGAGCTAACTATGACATGCGTGCCATGCAAGGTCCTGCAAACCACGGCTGAAGCCGTTCCAGTACTCGAGAGCCAAGTCCAGGCGACTGGCCGAGAGCAAAGTGGACATCTCGAAGTTTTGCGTTTCGGGACAGTGGCAGGTGTGGCATTTTGGTAGAATACCAGAATCTGGGCCAGCCCTCAATCTGCAAAGAACACTCATCTAGAACACTCATCTAGACCTCGCAGATCTCTATTCGGGAGTTTTGCCTAGTCTGCTAGTAATGCCGGGAGCAGCCAGGAGATCAGAAAGAGGCAGAGGAAAGAACTTTAACTTCCACTCTCGGAGCGCCTGATGGTGTTCGAGAGTTCGCCCTCGGTTCGCGCGAGCGCATTTCCCTGCGCGCAATCAGGCTGCATGAGATGGCAAAGTAAGCACATGGATTGTTTGTGGGGCATGGAGTGTGAGTCGCCAAAGCCCTGCCAAGACCAGAGGAGATGGCAAGGCACTGCCGGGTCAACATGCTGGTAAAAGGCAACCTTCGAACTGTGCCTGGTTGCGGATGTCCCCCTGTGCTGCCTTCGAACAAACACTTGCATGGACCGATATGGACCGAGTAGCCACCTTGGCCCATCATGGCCCATGGATGATGCACCATGCTGCCATGACTTGGAACCGAGGTCCGCTTCCTACCTAGACACGGACATGGTATTGTGGGCCCTGTGCGCCTGCAGCCCATCTTCGGCTATGCGAAGACGCATCTTGACCTGCGTGGTTTAGGTATCGGAGGCAGCAGCGACACTGCAACACTTCAGCAAATTGGGCAGGTTCTCTTGTTTTTCACTGCTTGCAAGATAAACGACGTGCTTGTCCTCGATCGTTTGTGCTGCCTCCGCCATGCGAGCTTCCTTCCTTCCTTCCTGCCTTCCTGCTTTCCTGCCTTCCTGCTTTCCTGCCTTCCTTTCTTCCTGCCTTCCTTCCGTCCATCCCGCAAGCACAAGCCCCAGCAGGGGGTCGCGCCGACGCGCGGCTGACTAATTACGTGTTTGTGTGGGTGTAATGATCTTTCCACGTTGGAAGAACATGTTTTGGAGTTTGTGGGGCTGCTGAGTGGACATTGAAAGCTTAGGGCGTAGGCTTGGTGCAACAAGGTTTGAGCTCGGCCTCTCACTCAGTTGTGGGGGTTGTGGGAGCTTCACCTCGTGGGGCCGCGATGGTGTGTCTACTTGGCTTGTTTCGCTACACACTCTTTATCTCTCTGCGCTCTCTCTCCCTCGCTCTCTCGCTCGCGCTCTCTCCCTCTCTCTATTTCTCTTTCTCTTTCTCTTTCTCTTTCTCTTTCTCTTTCTCTTTCTCTTTCTCCTTCTCCTTCTCTCGCTCTCTCTCTCTCTCTCCCTCCCTCCCTCCCTCGCTCTCTCTCTCTCTCTCTCTCTCTCTCTCTCTCTCTCTCTCTCTCTCTCTCTGTAATGCTGGCACCTTACATGAGCATGAGCAACAGCGGAGTACACCATGGGCAGGAATGGTTGCCTTCTGTGACGAGTCTTGGAGCTCCTCGACTTCTGCAGACGTTTGATCCCTCCAGTGGGCCAAATCCCTGCGAGGCAGAGATGCTCCGTGGACTTGAGTGTCATTGAGCATCCGCCACAGCAACTGCACATTCCGCTCGCAACAACCGTTCACCACTCTCGCCAAGCACCCCTTTCAACTCATGGCCTTATTTCGTCTTCGGCAGATCTCATGCGTGTGCCATAAGCATCCTCGTCAATGCCCACCACACGCGTGTGGAATGTTGAGCAAAGGCATACTAAAGGCATGGAGCAGCTTAACTTTTGCCCAGGCGCCAGGGCACGATCCATGTCGTTGCAATGAGCTTGGGTCTGGCAGGGCAACAGGCAAACTGCTGGGATACTCTTGAGGATTGAGTGGGTTATTTCGAGGTGCTGCCTGAAGTAAAGGGCGCAGCCACTGCTTTTGTAGATTCGTGAGAGAGAGAGAGAGATGCGCTGCAGATCAGGGTAAGCCAGCAACATTTACAGCCCCGATCGCTTCAAGGATGCAGCCGATGCCCCATCATGGACTCGTTTGTTGATGCATGCGCTGCTCGTCGCCCCCTGAAGCAACCGTATAGCTCCCTCCAATGTTGCAGAGTCGACTCCACAGCATCTGCCTGCAAGCCCTCTTCGTGACCGTTCACATGACCAGTCACATACCACTGTCTGGCCTGCTCCAGACCTTGCTCAAGCCGCGTTGCTCGTCCATCAAGGCTCTCCAAGTGCTCGTCATGGAGCCTGGAAAAGCAGCAACATGCCGCTCTTGCTGCCCCATAGATTCTACTGGTGTCCTGAGGACAGTGCTGCAACTTCGCCTTGCTGGCATCAACGGCAGCCGAGACTTTGCTAATGCCTTCAGTGGCCTTGGCAGCTTGTGGTTCATCAGGTTAGGCAAACTAGCAATAACAGCACTTAGCACTCCGCGAGCATCAGCAGCTTTTTTTCATCACGAGAAACGAAGTGCTAAACGCGACTCATCTGGGGCTACAGACAGAACGGACTTGTTTGCTGGTGGCGCCAGGTGTGCTCCGCTCGACGTGGGTCGGCATTGGCCTTGCTGCTGAGTAGCTTCAGCGTGGTTGTTCGTAGCGAACTCGATCAGCTCCTGGACGATGTGAGATGCTCTCACGACGCCTTCACATCGCCTTGTAAGTTGTAAGGCGTATGCCAAACAGGACAGTACAGCAGTGCAGAAGTACAGCGACAGCCTCATCCTGCTAGCCAGATCTAGCCAGTAGCCCCTATAGAGAGCGGTGTCCTCGCGGATACGGTGCACGTGGTGCGCCAGGCGTTCAAGCGCATTCATCTGCTTGGACTCCTCTGAAGCCTGCAATGTAGTGATAGTAGTGATCAGACAGCCAATGCCTTCGTCAATGCCTTTACGACTCACGAGCTGACAAGCTACGACCAATATGTTTATCGATCGCCTGTTGCTCCTTGTCGTACTGCAGAAGGGTGGCCTGACAGGGAACCAGTCTCCACCTTCTTGCCCCCCGTAGCTGCAAAATCCAAATCCCAGAACCTTGCTAGAAAATCCCCATAGTTGCACGATGCTTCCGGGCCAAGGCGCTTAGAAAAAAAACTCGAAAGCTTCAGCCAGAAAATTGCGATTCCGCACTCTCTTGAAAGCGATCTTTCAATCCGCTGTGAACGCATTGGTCCCGTTTAGAACAGAGGCATCAGTTTAGTTTAGAGTTTAGGTGGGGTAGGGTTTTGAGGTTTTAGATGGTTTTGGAGCTTGGGGCGTATAGGGTTTTTATAGGATTGAATGCTTTTAGGGAACCGGTGCACGGCATGGCCCTCGACTTCATGCCTTCCTCGAGGCTGCCACAACACAGAACAAACTCAGAACAAACCCAACAACACTGCTCATCTAGGTCCCTCACCAGGCCTCCTACGGTTACCAAGCCTGCTCTTACACTGACACAGGTTTCGAATTACAGAGACCCCTGCCTGCAACCACGCAAGGTTACTCGGCAGATTCGCGGAACCGGAGTGACCAACATACAAATAGCAGCAACAAGCGCCTGCATGTTCGCATCCAAGGCAGCCTTTGTACACAGGAGTGGCTGCAGACATCACCCAGTCGATCCCAGTTGGGGTAAATCAGTGATGCATGCCGGAAGCCCGGAATTCAAAGCTCCTCTCACTCTTCTTGTGCAAGAAGAGCGCAACACTGGGGGCCATCGGCCAAGGACGCGGCGATGGCTTCCTCAACGCGGCCAAGGCCTGAAGCTTGAAAGGTCAAATGGATGAGAAGTTCGGACACAAACTCGCCAAACTCACAATGTCTCTGGCGTGTTGTCGCAGAGATCACCCCGGCTCAGGGGCTTCAATTGTTCTCCAGGCCTTCCTCTGATGCGTCCAGCCGCAGTCCGAGAGCAGCGGCAGTCCTACAACAGTGAGTTTTGACAAAACTTCAGCAGTTGTCAAAAGCTTGAAAGCCACTACTGTACAAAGACTGTAGGTAAGACTAGGAAAGTTAGGAAAGTCTAGAATCGGCTCACGATTCCACGATGGCTCGCGGTAACACTTTAGAGGGTGCTGCGCACACGAGCCAAAGGGTACGTCAGCAGCGGCCTGCTGATGTCCTCATGGTTGTGCTTTACCTGGCATCAGCAGTGAAGGCTATGAGCATGGCGCATCAATCTGCCCACCCCAACACAGCCTCACAAACACCGACCACGTTGGGGCTCCCAGGAGCTTGTATGGTGGTTCATGAGATGAAGACCCTGAGGATGATCGGTAGAGCAGATGAAGCAGGCCTGTTGCTCTTTAGGCGATGTTTTTTCAAGAAGACCTGCGACCCGCATCCCTTTGCCGTGCCTTGCTGTCAGTGTGGTCCAGCCGCCTGGCAGCGGCCCCTACTCTACAGCTTTAGGTTCAAAACCAGCAGGTCCGCCTCATCACATCTCATAACAATGACGGATTCAAACTGCTTCTCACAGGACAGCTGGCTTACAGACTGCATAAACTGCGGCGAAGAACACGAACTTGCGAGGGTGCCTTTTTAACCTGGAAGTGGTGTCCATGGCTTCTTGATGGTGGCAGGACTCGACTGTCTTCAGCCTCCAAGCAGCACACGCACGCACCCAAACAATGTGGCACCCTCACTCAGTGACACTTATCATGGTCATATCACAGGCCTCTGGTCACTCTCAACACTCTCAACTCTCAACGTGGCCTCTGCAAATCGGACTGTGTTGCCTGGCCAACTTTCCAGTGAAGAGGTGTCATGCAACGCTTTAGTTGGCAGGTGTATCCACGCCTCGCCCTGAGTCTTGGTGACCTCCAGCCGATCCTCAACAGATTGTCAGGAGCAGCAACAACTCCAAACGATGATGCAAAGGTGCAAGATTTGTGGCTATGTCATCATGTTTTTTCTTGGCTTTGTTTCTCTGTTCCGCAGCCTTTAAAACGTGGGATGCTCTGCCCTGAATCGTTGTGCACGCAAGTTCGTCAAATACAGCTACTCGCACGTGACCATAGCGCCATTGGCAAGGAACCCGTCACAGGCGTGACACAATTTAATTGCAAGAGTGTCAAGGGGATTGAGAACGAGAACGAGAGCAAGAAAGACACAGCTCCCGCGAACAAGTTCAATCTTCTGCCTTGCTCATGCCCAAACGTCTCCAACTTTACAACAGCATGAGAGGAACATACTTCCATACATTCCATACCAGCATGCCATTCTCAAGCTTCAGTACAGTGCAAGCACAATGCTGAGCCCGCGCGCTGAAAGGCCCTGGCAGCAGAACTTGTTGAGCTCGCATGCTTCCTGGAATCAACTCAAACCAACAACAAAGCTGATGTTCTCTTGCCGCAGCGTATCTAAGTCTCATACAGGACCTTGCAGCCTTCTCTGTCCTGCAAGTGCTTCAAGGTGAATGCATCTGCCTGAAGCTGATCTGCCGCAACCTCGCGTGCCACTGATGCCGGAAATGCTCCCTACATGAAACTCACGGACACTGAGTCCAATCTTCGCGACGCTTTCTGCTGAGTGCCGCGATTGTTGCCTGGGCTTTGGTCTCCAGAGATGCCACACGGGGCTTGGTATCCTGTGCACCAAACATGGAACAGAGATTTTGCCACAATTTGTACTCTCACGTTCGTCCATTGCCAGGAGAAATCGTGAGAAAGCACAGTGACTCCCGACGTATGATGGCGTATGCGTGATGGGGGTGTCCTCTTGCTGCAGACGTAGCGCCTTCAAGCTGGACCGAACGTTGAGTATCTCCTTAGAAGGTCAGGATTCAGGAGCCGCAGAAACGCCTCCGAACATGCCTCAACTCCAGTTGACACACTTGGCCTCATCAATGTGCTTCTTCAGCTTTTCTTGTCGTTCCTGATTGGCCTGTCAGCGGCTAAGTTTGTCAGGCGCGTTCATCACACATTACACATGTGAAGGACCAATGTGATTTCGTCCTGCTCTTGTCACAGGGACAAGTTTTTCGCTACTGTTTGGATTACCGTCCCACTTTCTGCATGGTTTTGCCATGGTCAGCTATTCGGGGGGTTTGGGGGAGGGTCGTCTGTCGACCGAAAACCTTTAGAGGGAGGGTGTCCAAAACCTTGCGCCCTGAACCCTCACCTCTGTGTGCTGTTTCTCTGCCGTGTTTCCTCCGGAAGAGCACCGCGCAATCCCGAATTCTGAAGCTTAAACCTCCCTTGCAAATCCCTGCACAAAGTCGGGCGAAGCCCGAAGCCTCCACACCCCGAGGCCCAGAATGCGGGTCCAATCCAAAACTCCGACATACAGCCCGAAAACATAAAATTCCACCCGGCGCTCAACACCGTGCTGTTTTGCCCCGAAAGCCCAAAGGTGCTGTAAATACCATACTCATCGTGGCCTCGTGCGTCAAATTCCGCTTCAGGAACAAATACGTCAAACCCCAGAAAAAATGCAGGACAATAAACTAAGCAGTGGGATGGTTTCGCTATGGTTGTTTCTTGCCCAGAAAGGCCCGATGAGAAGCTTACCCGCGCGCGCACACACACACACACACGCACACACACGAACGCCCATTGACACCTGCCTGTGAGAAGACTTCGATCAGGTTAGTCACATCCTGGTGGTGTCGTGCCACGTTGGCCTTCACCTGGTTCGCCGCAGTTATGCCGGGGGATGGGCACAGTTGGCCTGCATCGCACCTCGCACAGATCCCGTTTGAGAGATGTCGAAGACTCTTCAAGCGATTTCTGTGCCGCTGTAACGGCACCCATGGTTACACCTGCAAGCCATGCAGAGCTTGCCATGCCGCATGCAAGCATACATGAAACATGAGTTAAACATTATGTAACGTTTGGGCTGCGATGTGTGCATGCAAGACTGGGGCAGTTTTGCATACAGGGCTTGCCAGCTTGCTAGATCGGTGCGACACCAGTGCTGAGCTGCACAGTCCACCCCAGATCAGACTGTCTGCGTGACGAACGTAGGAAACACATCGCGGCCCAGCTGCTCTGGGCAATTTGCTCATCGCGTACACTGCGCACCTGTACGGGTGGGCGCAGAGTAATTTACATGCATATATATAGAGAGATACTGCATATATTTGTAAACGAGTACTTGAAGCAGCATGCCAGGACTCTCTCAAGCACGGCAGCATATGCAGAAACTCCTTCCACAGGTGACTATAAGGTATCTGCTCACATGATGGCAGCACTTCTCAGTAGATTACCGAATGCCCCGGGTTGGAATCTCAGCACGCGAAAACCTCGTCACAACCTAATTGAAAAGGTGCTACATGCCACTCAGATCATGCGCTTCAAGTGGGCCTGTTTCTCAAGGTCTTGCACATGTTCGGCGAAGGGCTTCAGAATGCTCATCAAGTGCTCATGCACAAACCTTGGCAGGCGGTGTCCATGAATGTAAGAGCCCACCTTTCGCCATCATACGACCACGTAAGACCCAAAGTCACCCGGAATTAGGAAACGATCCAGACTGAAGTTTATCAGCTGCGTACATTATTTGCTTCAAATGGGAACAGTTTTTGGATCCCAGGCTCCATTTTGGAACCATGTGGAATTCTTTTGATGAGATTCCATGGTGTTTGATCTCACATGATTTACTAAGTAAATCATGCTGCATGCTGTGATGTTTTTGCCTAATACGCTGTTTATTCTGTGTCTTTGAAGAACTCGTTTGAGTGTGAGCTGAAGCAGTTAGTAGGAACTGTCGTTCTGAAGCACAGTCGTAAACACTAGTGAATTTGCTTAATGTTTTTGCGCAGATCGCAGAAAAGAAGACCGCCTGCGTGCCTGAGGTAGGGGTTTAAGCCTTGCGCCTTCGAGGGAAAAGGTGCCAGGGACCTTACATGTTTCAAGCAATGTCAATTTGAGAACCGACTTTCACTGCAAAGCACACACTTCACAAACCGAGCCTTATGTGTTTCAAATTGTTACAATCCAACGAGGCAGCAGGAGGGAGCAGGACAGGGACAGGGCGAGTGACAATCATGTCGCTTACAATGCAATGCGGCTTTTTCAACCACGTGACTTTGCCTGTTGAGTTGTCGTGCGAGAAGCGCTGACTGTTTCCAAAAGATGCTTGAGCTCTAGCTTCGGACTTGTTGCCTTTAACAAATTCAAATCCTCACCCCACTCCCAACGGCTCCAGCAAAGAACATGCGCCTTGGTGCCTGCTGCGTGACCTGGCCACTCCCCTAGCGCGTTCGGGAGATGCCAGGATTGTGAATTAGCATTTTTGCTTCCTGGGATGCTTTTTCGGTTTGTCGACGTATGTTTGCCCATTTGGCCATGTTACCCAGAGTCCGCCTTTGAGCCCCGTCGTTTGGTGGTTGGCTCCGCGTCGGTGGAACGGGGCTCGGAGGCTCGGAGGCGGCCACATGCACAAACCGGGCTCGGGTCCCACAGACCGGGCAGAGTTTGCTGAGGACGTCGCCGATACTTGGGTTGGTGAACGGTGAAGTACGTCTGGTTAAGCCGATTTTGCTGTTTTGGATCTGTTTTGGCGGAGCCTAGACGAAACTTGGTTATACGGGCCAGCCCTAGTCAAGGATTCTCGCTAAGAGAGCCAAAGAGGACCTAAACCCTAAGCTGCATAAAGGGGCGACAAACACGACACATTGGTAGCATACTCAAGTTAGGGCAGCGAGAAGCTTATGTTCCCAAAAACACCACATCCAAATAAACCAATTAGACGAGACAGATATGTTGGATCCGGAGCTTCTTGAGCCGGCCTCGCCGCTGAGGAGACAACAGGCCAACAAGTCTGTAACGAGCCAAGCCCAAGCAAGCCAGTGCAACAGGTTCAACACGGAGCTCATTCACAGTACTTCGTTTGCATGTGCAACTGCAACAAGTGACCGGGTGAGTCCGGGCTGAGGTAACTCTGTACATGCATGGGTGCTGATGGAGAAGTCGGCTGCAGTGGGCGTGTGACGAGATTTGGCGAGCGGAGTGCAAGGGTGGTGAGGATCATGGAGACGGGCGGCAACATTTTGCTGGAATGCGCCTGCTGTGGGGTGCCTGGCCCGCACCCAAAGCACTCCCGAAATTTGGGCCGAGGCGGCGCAGTGGCGATGAGTGGCGGGATGCCGGCACCCTCAAGCCGTGCACCGCACTCGCCCTAGTAAGAGTACACGGCCATGCTTTAAGCAGCGCTACACACCGCACGGTCCAGTCACAGGCAAAGTTTGAATCTTGTAAGCTGAGTGCTGTGCCATTTCCCCAAACAACAAGAGACCCGACTGGTAACTGACTAACCGCTAGCCAGGTCTTGAGGTGTTCACTTGCCGAAGTTTCGGATGGCCCGAAAAAAACTCCCGGCTCCAAATGATCTGAACAAGTAGGGAGCGGGTTCAAAATTATGGAATGAAAGATGAGTTCACACAAACAAAATAGGCGATCATACGGATTACAATCAAAGTAGGGTCCGTCTGCAATCATGCCAGAGGGCCAGAGCCGTGTTCAATTGAGTTTGTTATTTGGAAAGCCAGAATTCGTGCGGACAGCATCGAGAAGTCATGCGACCAAGTTGCGCATGCATGGGGTTCTGATCCTCGCCAGAGGCAAGAGTTATAGGCTTCTAGGTTTGAATACGACACAGCAACCAACACAGCACATATCATGTTGCGGGCATCTGCGCGCTCATGCTCCTGACTTCCAGCGTTCTGGAAGGTGCTGTTCTGCAAGTCCTGTTCAAGGTGTCTCTGGCCATTGCTACATTTGTCAGCGCAACATCTTGCATGAGAGAAGTCTGAGTTTCAGGGGTTGTCACCCTGAGCGGCTCCCTTTCAACCGTCGACTGGTACGTTGCAACACGAGCGTCAAGAGAAGCTTCCAGTGCTTTCGCTCCACACAGCTTGGCGACATGAGCCCTTCGATCCTCCGTTCGGAGCGTCCAATCCTGATTCGCCAAAGAAGTCATCTTTGGGTCTTCAGTCTTCAGGCCTGAAGTTCACAAATTGGATTGGCTGCTGCTCGCTCAAAGTCCCATGACTCTCGCAATGAAGCACCGTGAAGAAACATGAAAAAACACTACGCTTAAGCCCTCTGGAGATGCCGACGCACTCGGTCTGCGAGGCTGCCAACTTTACAGATGGTACACGATCTGAATATGAAGTTGTCTTTGAATGATGCGTCTTCTGCTAGTTGCGGCTCACTCCAATGGTTTCTCAGTCCTGTGATGATTCCGCTTGGATGCTAGAACCTTGAAGAAACTCATGCTGCAGCATGCAATTCAGGCTATGCACCACGGGGTATGTGCAAGCATCAGAACTCATCATACGGGGCACAAGCCATTCATGATTCGGTCCTTCATCCTGCAACTTGGATCCTTTTCACGACCAGCGCCAACGCAGTTCAAGTTGGGTGCCGAGTTGTTCTCAAGCATGCCACCTGCACAATTGAGCAACCTGCATCGTGCTAAACCCTCAACCCTGGTCTTCGATTCCAGGATTTGCGTTTACGTTCTGCTTTCAGGTTATCAGGGGTCATGTAGCATTCATGACTCACCAGCCGTGCCTTGAACTCAGGAGCTTTTCGTGTTGCTCGCCTGGCTGTGAGGACGTGAGAAACGTGAGAAGGCTTCAAGAAGCATCCACGCATGACGCATGGACCATGAAGGCATGCAGCGCAAGAGCCTGCGCAAGTCTCCTTTCGGACCCCATCAACAAAGACTTTCTGATCTCAAAGTCTTAAAGTCTTGAGACCTAGCAGTCGCAGCAGTCCCTATCCCCGACACTCCCCGCAAGACATATCGAGGACCATATTGGCTGTCCCTGGGACGGGCAGATTTTCCGGTACCCTTGCTAGGACCTCCCTGGCCTGAGTCCAACACTGTTCACAGGATCCCTACGACTAGGGACTGAACTGACGAAATCTCATGACAGCCTTCCCCTGCATCTTTGGCAGGACGCTTGCTTCGTATTTACCACTCTATAGAGGGTGCCCGAACCTTTCGGCTGCCCCTGTAGGACTTCAAAACGACTTTTATCGGACTAGATCTGGGACCGGGAAATCGACTCTCTTGAGCAGTTCGACGCATGGGCATCCAGCTTCCGACCAAAGCCCCAAAACTTTCCAAAACGAGGCACGGGCCTTCTCCTCAGGAGACCGGCGGCTTTCCGGTCGATTCGAACCTGCATGTGCCGGCAAGTGCTGAAAAGGGGAACCTTACGAACCTCGCGAACAAGAATAGCTCTCTCGTAACGTAGGAAACGGTCGGACTAATTTCATGATGCACTGAACCAGGTCGGGCTCACCACTTGGAGGAGTCGCATTTTTCTTCTTGTCACTTGGGCCTGGCAAGAAGTGGCACAATCCAGCGAAGATATGGCGTCAGCTTGCAGCCACCGTTCTGGAGCGGGTGAAAACAGCTGACATACTGAAATCAAGCCGAAGGTGGTCAACGATGACTAGACAAAGTTATCCCCCTGGCTGCTTTGTCAGGCCAACTCCAGATCCCTTGACGGTCGAAGTGGCGCCAACCAGCCGTCTAAAGTCTAAAAGCCCTGCCCACGTTCCCGCTCAAACTCCCAATCTCCAAGCTCACCTCCACGAGGCACCTCGGCCAGAGCTGGTTTTGCAGTTTGGTGACGATGCCGGGGTTAGAGAAGTTAGGGGCTTGGCAGGACATGCCAAGAGAAAGAGCGAGGGAACAACGTCTACGGGGCACACCTGGTGCAAGCAGGGACGCGATTGGCCAGAGTGTCCGAATACAACAAGCTGAACCGTCATCCAACCCCAATTACGACATGATTGGCCAAACGAGGCACATCTTCAGTTTCCTCTTCAGGAGCAGAGGTCAGAAGCACACTCTTCACCTTGGCAGCGCATTATTCCAAAGCTTAATCTATCAACGGACGACCATGGCAGAACAACGCCTTCCCGGGAAAAAGCAAGCAAACCAACTAGCTTGATTCGTGCCGGCTTCGTGCTGTCGAGGAAGTATTGACGCTCTTACGCAGGGAGCTGGGGTCTAGGCCGTGTGGACGAACGTGACCTCGGTTTCCGTCTGACGCAGTCAAGGCAAAACCCAAGCCAAAACAAGCGGCCGCCACTAGCGGCGAGTCGGAAACACTTAAATCTAGAACGGATATTAAGTTAATACTGCTACTCGCGTAGCAGTATTGGCTTGAGGAACGGGGTTCAGGTTGATGACGCTTTACTCTTTGAGCCAAGACACAAAGTCGATCGGCGTGTCCGGAGCCTTAGGAAATCTTAGGAACATCCACACTTGAAGCTGCGGGTTCCATCATCGTCGGCATGTGCCTCAGCCCTGGGGAAGATCGAATAATTTCATTCTGGAAATTACCGTGCAGGTCGGGTCGGGACATAAAAGCTGCTTGTTTCTGGAGCGCTAAAGAGAGAGAGAGAGAGAGAGAGAGAGAGAGAGAGAGAGAGAGGAGGAGAGAGAGCGAGAGAGCGAGAGAGAGCGAGAGAGGGAGAGAGGGAGAGAGAGACAGAGACAGAGACGGAGAAAATAGAAGATGGAAAATAAAAGAAAAACAAAAAAAGAAAGGAGAGCGAGACACAGAAAAAGACCGAAACAGAAACACAGACAGAGAGCAAGAGAGCGAGGGGAGCGGGGAGACGGGAACGGGAGAGCGGAAGAAACAAACACCTTGGAAACGAGGCCTCAAGTCCCTTTCCGGGTCAAGTGGGGAGCCTGGCTCAAACCTTCCTATCTGCGGCGGTTAGGGTTGGAGGGCTTCGGGGGGTGGAGGGGGGGTGGTAGACCGGGGGAGGAGAGGATTACATAGCGGAATGGATAAAACACCTGACATGTAATCGCGAGGTCCGTGGCTCGAATCCCCCTCTCGTCTCATTCTACACAAACCTCCTAAACCTTTGTGAAGCCTCCCGAGCTCAAACCTTCCTATCTGCGGCGGGTAGGGCCTACATCTTCCCGTCCTGTCTGCCGGATAGGGCCCAAATCCTCCCAAGCTGAAAAACCTTCTTATCTGCGGCGAATAGGGCCCAAATCCTCCCCAGCTAAAACGTGACATAGCTTCTGATTCCACCATGTTGGGTTGACCTCGTGTGACCTCGCTCGAAAATGCCCAGGCAGCCCTGTGATCCCCCCAGACCACTTAGCGGCGCTTAGCAGATGAGGCACTGTCTGCACAGACCGCATGTAGATCCGCAAGTCGTCGTCCGTGAGTGGGGAGTCAATGAGCTGCCGTAGATGAAACCTGCGAGCAGCAACTCAGACCTTGTCCTCTAAACCTTGCGTGCGCGGCACGGAGAAATCTGTTGTGAACAACGAGCACAGCGCCATGAACAGCGGTGCTCAGAAGGCTTGTTTTTGTATACTGCTGCTGCAAACCTTCCATTCCTTCAAACTCCTGCGTCTTCCTCCCAAGAGGACGAGTGAGGAGCCGACATGCAGTGCGCCAGGCCCATCTGAGGCACCGTTCCATCCATCCGAGGGCCCAAAGACATCCAGGTCCTGGCAGGAATGCCGAGTTGGCAGAGCGATTGCTTGAAGTTTGCACAGAGCACGAAGCTCTTCAAAAAAGCACACTGCAGGCAGCCCAGTGCAGGCAGAACTCGGGGTGCGCAAACTTTTGTGGACTCGCCTGCCTTATGCACTATGGTTCCTGAGATTGTCCTTGCAGGAGTCCTTGCCGCCTCCTCAGGCCGTACGCGGGCCTCGGGCCTTACAACCTTTACACGCAGACTCACAAGCCTTACAACGTTTAAAGAAGTCGTTCGAATTTCAAGGATCAACTCTCCGCGCCGGAGCAGGAAGTCCAAATCATACAACATTTATCCAAAAGGAGAAAGGCAAAAGGAACAGCACGGCTGCATGGTCGCGACGCTGCAGAGTTGCTTTCATCTCCACTGTACCCCAGCATGAAACAGTAACAAGCAGTTGGAAAGTGCAAGATATTGCAAGATGAAGATGATGAGCCGTACGTGAGCGCGATGACAAATCCACGCAGTTCTGGTGCATATGCCTGCAACATCCTGCAACACTTCAAGTCTCTGGGTTCCCAGCAGAAATAAGCTCCAAGCAGAGCTTTGAATTGTGAAACAACAACCACCACTCTGTTTCTGGCGGCCCTTCCAGGACAAGTGGCAAGTGATCCGGAATGATCCGGATTTTCTACACGTCAGACTGGGTATGGCTAGCCTAGGAGTTCTGGGGTGATTCCAGCTGCTGGTAATCATCGTACCATTCTTGTGCATGCCGAAGTGTGGCCCTTTTGTTTCCTAAAACGAGAGAAAACCGATGGCAGCTCTCAACTTTCTACGCTTGCAGGTGTCCTAGGGGCCTCCAAAGGTCTAAAGGAGCACTCTCCGCGCTGACTGTGAGAGACAAGCTCCAAGCCAGCAGCCACCAGAGAGGCAAGGATAGGCAAATAGGCAAGGATGCTGTTCCAAAAACTGGCGGATTGCTATGACTGGGATAGTTCTCAAAAACCAGCATGAACTCCTCTCTCCCCCTCTCTCTCTCTCTCTTTCTCTTCTTTGGATCCCTACTTTTCATAGTTCGAACTGCCGACTATGACGGATCTGTTCATGCAGGTCTGTGAGAACTTTACCTCAAGTCAGTCTCCCTCACCCGTTGAAGCTAGAGGCGCAAGACCTCCCCGCTGGCAGCCAAGAACTGCATCGCCTGGCTCAGGGCTCTCCGTGGCCCTGGGGATTAATAATTTCTGGGACCTGACTTCTGGCGTTGCGACTACCATGCTGTCTTGAAGAATGCCTTCTAGAACAACTGCACTTCTCCAGCATCCCTTGGCCTACTGCTGTTCCCTGGCCTGCGCGTTTGCCTGTATCTGATGCAGATTCGGGACGCTTCCTGATGCATCATATGAATCGTATGATACACACGACACACAGCCGCGTGGAATGTTTTGGACTTCTGAGCTTCTAAGCATACGCGAAGCCTTGCAGCCGAGTGACCCCATGGTGTGTAGTCACTGTAGTCACTGTAGTCATAGTCGGGAGTCGTGACCGGATACGGGGCTGCGGTGGCTGGGTTGTAATCGGCATACCTGAATTGACAGGTTCCGCTTCAAGATGCAACCCGGCTTCGCGACAGAGAGCAAATCTCAAATCGCGTGTTTGCGCATGTCGTCAAGTCTAGACATAATGAGATCGTCGACCGGTGCCAAGGTACTTCATCTTGTTGGCTGGAGCACTCTCGCGGGTCTTTGGCAGGCCGAACTGGTTCACCAAGGAGGACAGTGACAACCTCAAAGCAACGGGGAGACAAGCGATGGCTTTGCCCTTCATGGAATTTCGAATCAGGGTCGAGCCTTGCTTAATTATGTGCACTGCTGCAGTGCCGCTTAGACCCCAGAAATTTCTGTTTTGTTTTTTAGTAAAACTGCTTTGTTCCCAAAAGCCGAAGGGTTACCCCGGAGGCCGGAACAGAACGCCGGAACGCCGGAACGGAACGGAACTTGATCATCTTTGTCTTGCCGGCAGTTGGGTTGCACAATGTTGCACAGCTTAGTTAGTTGCTATTCTAGGCGATTGGATGACGGGAGGCTCCAAGTCGGTATCTCCAGATGCCGTGGACGAGGCCTCCTTGCTGAATCCGTGCACCTCGTCCGCAACGCTTGCAACGCTTCCCCGAACAGTCGCAGTTGCAAGTTGCAAGTTGCAAGTTGCAAGTTGCAATCATGGTCCAAAGCAACAGGCTACATTGTCTACATCCTCGTTCAACGGGCCTCTGGATCTGGAATGTCTCCAATTGGGCGCAGCTCCTCTTCACCTGGGCAGATCTTAATACAGGGCGAGTTGCGTCGCAAAATTGCTAAAACCACAAACCAGCAGTGAACGCAGCAAACGATTGCAGGTCATCACACCGCCCATTAAACTACTCAAAGCTTCACACGTAACCTGTGTACATTTTGTATTGTTCTACTTGCTCCTCCGCTGAACCATACTGTGTCTTCCTGTCATTTGCACTCTATATCATCACACAACAGTTGCACTCACTTCGAGCAACAAAAACCCACTGTCCCTGAAACCTGAGCTTGGTGCCATGAGCATGAGTGCAACTGGCGCCATATGGACAGCGTTTCAACCTCGGAGTCTCGGACTCGTGCAGGGTAGAGCATTAGGCAAAGGCATTGTGGGGGGCGGCTGCTGCTCGGCTTGGCTTCAAGTCTGGGGCTGGCACAGGGTGTAGGAAGAGCACAGCCTCCCACTTTACAGACTCTGAGCTGCGCAAAAGAAAAACATGAAAACAAGATGCTCTGTGTGACATTGCTTGCGAAGCGCCCACGTGACAAGAACTCACCAAGGCCTTGTCTTGTAGAGATCAGGGCGTGGGCGTAGCTGTGCAATTCCGTGAGCGAAAGTGCAACGATTTCCACGGGTACACTTGCCTTCCTGGGCTCAAGAGCTGTGCAGGTCAAAGAGAGGCTTTGTTACGGCTGGAACATTTTGTAGCGGCTTACGCAATCAAACACACCTCACCGACGAGCGCATCTAAGCACAGCACTCATCATCACTCATTCCAGATGCTGCACTGGGGAAACATAGTCCCCCATTTAACTCTCAGGCATTCACTATCGTTGCAACCTCCAGCTTTCAAGCGTGACTTCAGATTAGAGCCTGACTTCGGAATGGTGACCAGAAAGGACGAACAGAAATAGCTGTGGAAGCACGTGGGAACTTTGCCAAGTCAAAGCGTTCTCAAATCTTCCACGGCCCGGCCAAGCAACAACTGACGCCAGGATGCCACATCTCTAGTGAATTCTAGTGACGGGTTCTATCCGCCCCCCCCCCCCCCCAACCCACCCTTCCTAAGTCGATGATTGCTTTGAGGTGCTTTTTTTCTCTTGGAGACGCGAAGCCCCTTTACACTTTCCTAGCTTCCGAAGACTCCAAACCGCCAAGCCCAGGTTTAGAATCGCTTGGGATCGTTTCTGAAGTCGACCTTTCTTGGGGGGCTTCGGAGCTGAACGCCTAGTGCTTCTGCTTCTAGATTTGTCTAGATGACGTACCAGGAAAAGTGCTCGTTGTTGCGTGCTAAAATCAGAACGGTTCGAATTCAGATCAACGGTTGCACGTATACTCTCCCAGTGGCTTGGTGCGGGGCCTCAATTCCTCCCACTGGGCGTTTGTGTGTGTCCCTCCCAGTGCCCGAGGCCTCGCCCTCCTGTCTGCATTGCGTGATGACTGCAAAGGTGATCTGTTTTCCTCATGCGATTGCTTCCAAGCCTTTGCCTTTCTCCCTGTTTTGAACTGCGCAAGCCGAAGCCGAACATGGTTATAATCTAACATCCACGTTCTAGGCGTCTTCGCCGTACCTTGGCCAGCCAATGCAGAGCCCCGTCGAGAAGAGAAGTGTGTCCAGTGAGCAGTTGTATTCCGAAAGAATCACAATCACAATAGTATATACAGCAAATATCCGCAAATTCTCACGAGTCAGGTCTAGAGCGGGATTCGTACGGCTGGTGGGGAGCGGCACGTTGGACCTGTTCGGGATTGTGTCAGAATATTGAGGAATTCATGACGAGGCTCGGCAAAGAAGGCACAGAGCTCCGTTTGCTTTACTGGCTGACGTTTCTCAGCGCGACGGGACCGCTTAGCGTTGAGACCTCACGTCGTGTAAGCAAGAGCTCCATGTTGCGTTGAACACAAGTGAGTTACTCACGGACTCTCTCAGAATCTCATAAGCTCCTCAAAAGGCTCTCTCAGAGTCCTGGCCTGGTTGGACCATGGTTCTCAAGGGTTGTAAGAAGCTTGGTCGAGTCGGACTTCGGAACTTCGAGCCGGTCAAAGCTGAGACACAGCTTGCATCTTGCCAGCACGCGGAACTGCATCAGCTACAATGGAAGTACTGCTGCACAATTATCAACGTGATGCTGCGAGGGTGTGGTATGATCCCAATGCAGTCCGATCTTGACACGTGACTTGCATGCACAAGGCGTCTTATCCCGCGTCCTTCGAAGTAAGGAGAACTTCTCGTCAGAGATGCCCAGGCTCACGCCCAGTTCATGCTCCTGATCGAGTGAGGACGTTACAGCCCTGGTCTTCCCTGACCTGCAAGCTGGAAAAATCCAAACTGCTGCCGGCTCCTGCTTTCGCTCAGACAACCTGGCAGAAACAAAAGGAGTAGGCCGAGTAGGGGAGACCACGGCACAAGGCAATCGTGCCTGACTTGCTCCATCATCATCTGGAAGAAGTCATGGAACCTCAATGACAGCTCCATGGTAAGGCAGAGAAAAAGATCCCCAAAGAAAGCAAGTGGAGCGGCGGGGCGATGCAGACATGATCACATCCAACCATGACATCCAGCCGCTCGGAGGCTGATCCCAAACTCTGCGATCACGCCAGCAAGAACCCAACACCCTGCTGAATTTCAAACTTTGATGGGGGATTCCTCTCCTTCAAGCTAAGCGAGCTAAGCAAGCTATGGTTCTAAGGCTCGGCCAAAGAATGCCATTTCTGGGCTTCCTTCTGTAACAGGATTTCAGGGTAACTCCACATTGTGTCAGCATGCACAGGTGTTTGTTTCTCAAGAAAGGCTGGGCAGTGTTGCCCGACTTGGTCTGAGCATGTTGGGCAGCTCTCGCTGTCTAGACCCTAGAGGGGGCCTTCTTGGCGGAAGTCTGGGAGTTGAAAGGTGGGAGATGGGACACATCGGATTCGAATTCTGTCATGCCCAGGAGCTCCATCAGCTCGAAACTATTGGAGCCGTCCCTGTCCAGCTCCTCGATGACGTGGCCGATCTGCACTGGAATGGACATGCAAGGATTTGCAATGGACGTTCCCATGACTGCCCTTGCGAAGGCATACTGTGGCACAAATGTCACAGTCTCGCGGTAAGTGTGCAGAATGCCCGAAGGCACAGCAAAGCGACAACCCCGGATCGCAGGATTCCAGGATCGCACCTGCTGGAATACAAAAGCCGGCCTCCTGCTGCTCACTCTTTGTTCGCGGCAGCATCCCAAACTCCTTCAAGTAACAGGCTGATGATGTGGGCTATAAGCGGCTAAGCCCAAGCCTCCAGGATGCCATAGATCTCTTGCATGCTCAGCTCACCACCTTCGGACCGAAACTTGAAACATAGGCCGAAACCCAACGACCCCCATCCCCCCCGCTTCAGCTCCGAGATGCTCTGAGTTTCCAGAGGTGCAACCTTCTTACCACGCCTTACACTTCGCTCTCTGCTTGGGGGGTGGCTTCCATCGCGGTCATAGTGCCGGAAGCTTGCTGTGAGCTCCTTAAAAGCATAAGACCCCGGGCGATCGCAGGATCTGACACAACGCCCCTTGTGCTTCTTCAATGGTCAACGGCACCACTCTCCTTTTCTAGAGGCATTGTGCTTGCAAGGCTCCTCTTCCAGGCTGGCCCGCACTGCCACACGCGCCTGTCGTAGAATGAACTTCTTAGCATAAGACAAAAACATTGAATGCACGGCCCCGGTCACGCGGTGGACAAGTCTTGGACTTTCTTGCAAACGCAGGTGAGAAGAACGATCATTGGATCTACAACTGCAACAAATTTGCGAGAAGATGCACCCTGCCTTTTGCACAAGCTCCAGTACGGCCTTGTCAACGCGTGGTGCAGAATACACAAACTGTCGATACACTCGGCCTGGCTACCAGCGACTGGTAGCAACCCAATACAAGCTCACACACAATGTCTCTCCCATTCATGTAGTGCACATGCAGACTGATTGAGCCGAGCATCGGGAAATTTCGTGTACGGCCTGGCGAACTCTTTGATGATGTCCAGTAGAGGCAAGCACCTGAATCGAAGGTGTGGTTTGCGAATACTCGCAACTGAAACTGTGGAAAACACTTAAGTGACTGGCGGTGGCTGCTACCGCACACCCCCCCCCCCGAGTTCCGGGTGAATCCGGGTGGCTGCATTTCTTCGGTATTGGGCGGCGCAGTGCCAATATCCACCATGAAGGGCAGCAGGTCCTCCTTTTTCAGACCTGCAAGCGTCAAGTGAAGAACTCCTTTTTCAGACTTGTTCGGGATGGCAAGTGGTGGCCAGGGCTTGGGAGATCCGGGATTCCGGCGCTCTATGGATGTTCCCGATCCAGTAACCAGCAGTGCTCTGATCATGAGAACACATGGTAGTTTCATTGTAAATAGTGCCCCTTTCTGTCGGGTACCTACCGAAACGTTGCGAATACTACGTCTTGCCTTGGTCAGGTCGGCCGAAGGAGTAGCGCTCAAAAACCTTCCATAGGAAGGGAAGGCTGGAGCCTGGGCTGCAGGGGCGACTCAAAGAGCTTAGATGAGTTTAAGGCGTTTAAGGTTTGGAGTTTCGGGGCAGTGCTGGTTACCAGCAGTTTGGTGAGGCCTGTCCAAGGGGTGCCCAATGGCCATATAGTTATAGTTGTTGCAACAGATTTCCTAGCACGCAATCCGCGTCAACGGAACGTGGCACGCTCTATCGTACGGCAAGACCAATTGCTGTGAGAAGCGGAATTCGTTGACGATCTCAGGTTCCAAATCGAACCTTGGTTTTCATCGATGCTCTTCACAGCTAATTAGCACAGCTAAGCGCAGCTAGGAAATGTGAAAAATGACCTTCTCGATGCTCGTCCGACAACCTCCAAAACCGCCACCTGTCTGCATAGCTCTGGTAGAGTCTGGTATAGGAAAGACCCAGCTAGAGAAGGGAAATAGCTGAGGCACTTCTTCGCGATGAGGACCTCCTCCCGTCGGCGCAGGGTCAGCAGCTTGGCCCTAACCTCAAAGGTGCCAAAATGTGCCGAAGCCCAGGAATCTCGTGGTTGGTGGTCCTTTGAAATCCCATTCCATCTTCCGAAAGAATATTACTGCGAGTGGCCAGTGCTCGACGGTCTGATCGGCATCGGAGCTTTTTGCAGCAGCTACTGCTGAGCTGCTGACCTTTTGATAGAACAGTTGAAACTCGTCCAGATTCAGCGCGCCTCACGTACGAGTAGCTGTGTCGGTCTTCGTCGGTGTTCTGGCCTATTCAATATGAACCTATTCAGTAACCTATTTCGTGAGATTTTGATCAGGCGTCACAAGCCCCGTTCCCGTTTCACTTCTGTGGCAAGCACAGGTTTGCTGCACGTAGGCAAGGAGCAATCTGCAAACTCTGAGGACTGACACGGTATAGGCAGACATAGTAGACAGTCAACCCAAGCCTTTCCCCTCTCCATCGCACTGGGTGAAGATGTTGTAAGCCTGTGCACAGAAGCTCCGCCTTCAACTGCTTGGCCAGATCATCGCGAATGCGCTGCAAACTACCGGGCTACTTGCTAGCCGCTGGCCTCAGTGCTTTCCTCTGCTGAGCGGAGGAAAAGGCCCAACTTTGTCTCCTGGAAGTATGAGCAGTATGCAGCGTTTAAGGATGCACCGCCGGGCACAACAAAGCAAGACGATGCCTAGTACAGGTGTAAAGTCTCTGGGATGGGTTGTTGAACTGTTGAATCCATGCGTGGCAACAGGTGCCTTTCCCTTGGCTCCCTTCCGCCCGATCTGGATGGACAGAAAAGCGGTCCAGGAGCGTCATGACGCCGGCCATGTCCAAACGGTCTTTGCCATGAACGTCTGCCTGGGCATGTACTGAACTTGTTCACCCTTAGACTCCCTCATACTCCCTCCACGCCGAGCAGTGGATGCATAGTTCGCAATGATTACTGCTTACTCTCAGGCTGAGGCCTCGTGGAACAGCTTCCAACATTTGACGCTCTGAACCTGCGCTCCATCTCGGGTCACAGAGTTGCGAGGAAGGCACAGCACGACGAATATGTAACATTTCATATGCAACGATCCAACTAAATGAGTCTGGCATCTTTCAGAGTCGATGATCGATGGCACAGGACCCTTCGAGGCAAACGCTGAGCTAAGGCCAAGGGCTCCCGCAAAGAGACGAAACCTCCTTCAATGACTTTTCGAGATGTGCTTCGAGATGCTCTGAGCCCTGCTTCTGGCTGAGGTGAGCCAGGCCTGACGCACGCGTTCTCGCACTTCCTTCAGCAGCTCCAGGAAGGGCTCAAAGGAGAACTCCTGGAGACAACGCAGCTGTTGCTGAGGACGATGAGTCGGCGTATCGGCGGCTGTACGTATGCGATGTTCAGAGTGCGTGACTTGCTAATTTTGCCACGAGCCCAATGGGGGAGGGGCAGAAATGAAAGAGTGGACTAGAAACCAGGTACAAGCAGAACACAGATTCGACCCTCGCCCCTTTCTCACATGAATTCAGGTTTGTAAGATTTGCTGGAGCTTCCACGGAAGGGCTTCCGCAAGCACGGAATCCCTTCCGCATGCTTCCGCAGGGACAGCGCCACGCTCATTTCACGCTACCGATGCAACCAGGTTCTTTATTTTTGATAGGTTTCCATTTCGCCTCGGACTCAAATTTCTGGGTCATCTCGTTGATGCACTCAGTGACCTGCGGTGAGGACAGTCTGGTGGATCCGGAAAGTTGGGCACATGTCGGATGGCCATGCCCGGACCATACGACGCTTACACAGTGGCACGCTGAATGCTTGTCACTGTCAGCTTCCAGCCTCGAATTTCTCCTCCCTGTTTTGCGGGGTCAAGCCAATGTCGGCCAGGAGATTTCTAACCTCCTTCGAAGCTTTGCGTTGCACAGTGCAGGGAATGCCAAAGACATGGGAAGCCATACTGGGTATTGTAGGAACATCCTCTACAATTCTACAGACGAAGCCGCCGGATGGCATCCGCAGGCCCGGATGCACCTCCAAATCCAGGGTGCCACTGCCGTCAAAGTCGTAGTGCCGGAACTGTACGTCCAGGTTATTCACCTGGACAATATTGCTTGTGTTCCAAAAAGTCCGAACACCTAGAGCAACTAGAGGGTGCTAGAGGTTCTTCCATGCAGAGAAGGGTGCAGCTTCGAATCGTTTCTTGAGACAGCAGGGGATAACACAAGCCACTTCAACAGCGACACAGCTGTTCATGCTGATCTGATCTCCCCCTCGTGCCACAATCCAAGAATCAACGCAGAAAAGTCGCCCTCAACTCACATGGCTTGCACTTCAACTTCCCGACCGAAACTTCAAACGGATGCAGTGGGACTGCCATCGGACGCGGACACTTCAATCTGGGCCTGAACTACGCAGCACGATCCTCGCTTGACTCCCTGCCTCTTGCTCTGCCAGTCCAAGCTTATTTGCAAGCCCCTTGAGCTCCTGTCATGCCGATGGGAATCGATTAAACCTGCTTCACCACAAAACGCAACAACCACCTACATACATACATACATACATATATACATACGTATCCACATATATGTACGTATATGCATGCTTACCCCCCCCCCCCCCCCCCCCCTGCATGACGTCATTGCGTTATGGCATTGAGGGGGTGGGGTACCCACATTCAAAACTCGAAAACTTTCAGACTCAAATTCCCAAAGTTCCACCACTCCACAGTTTTCATGCTCAGAATTCCAAAGTTCCAAATTCCAAATCATTCGGCTCAATTTTGCAATGTTCGAACCAATAGCGTGGAATTTCGGACTTCTTGGAACTTTAGAATGTCGAGTCTCCTGGAAACTCTAAACGTTATTGTTCGGCCCCGAACTGAAAACACAGCTTTGGACCCAAGTGTTCCAAAATTTTAGACTTGTGAGCTTAAGCCTTGTTTTTAGTTTTGGAAAGGAGGGGCTTCGAGATAATGAGCTGAACCCTTTGGAATTTCGGGATGTTTAGGCCCCATAAGCTCGTACAGATCGACTTGCGTTAAACCCAAAAATATTACGGGCTTATAACTATATTCAAGATGTCCCCTTCTATAACTACAGCTACCGCCTGAGATCCCTGAAGTTAATCATGCGATTCAACATATACCCCATCGATTAGATGTGCCTACGATTTTGAACAATGTACTTTACGCAAACTTCGGTTTCACTACAGGACCGTGTTTCATTGAAGAAACACGACTATCCTTCAACACTGGTCTATGTCGGGGTTTACTCTATTAAGGGACAACAACGCGTTGCTAGATGATGATTGGGGCCCTATTAACTCGGCCCCACCCAAAAACAACCCCCGACCACCCGTTTTGCAACAACAGTAATTTGCTAAATCGACACAATCCAGCTGATTGACATATTTCGGGGCCAGCTCGAATAACATGAATTTAAAAATTGCACTATCATAAATCTCAACTTTGACAATTGGCTTAGTTAACCAAACCAGGCCCTAACTATGTGGTAAGATACTTACAGGCTGATTGCACTAGCTAAGACACCTGCCTTCGTCAGGAAAATGATTATACAAGTTTACCCACCCTGCCGGGTCATTAGTCCATAGTACGTCTCACTGCAACTTGAGTGGAGGGGCCAGCTTCCCCCTTTAAAAAGGGCTCAACTGTCAAGTTGATAATCTTTGTATGGTCCGGTACCGTTGGAACTCGTGCAAAAGGTGCCCCTTCGAGGTTTCCGTTTGGACAATTTAGCGATGTCACACACGTCAACCCTTCAAAGGCCCTTCATGTACAGAGGTAGGTAGCATTATGTAATGCTTCCCACCATTGTTAATTTGGGTAAGTTGACTAATCTAACCAAATTAACCCCGAACTATGAGAAGGAAGTCTCGTATACTCAAGCGCATTTTGACCAAGTTAGCCACAGGATGAAAAGAACGCTAGTTACACAATGTAACGTCTGCAAATTCTAGTACCCTCAGACTTGTAGTTTCACATGCGGTGGATATCTTTTGCAGTTCGAATTCAAGGTCAGTTCCACTACTTAGTAAGTTGGATTTCGCCATTCTCTGTACAAAACAAATTCAGCCCTCAAGAAACGGGGTTGACTTTCTTGCCTGAACTAAAAGACATACCTACCTTTTCCTTTGTTATTGCATGAAGACTCCGTGAAAACATACTTGGCTACCTTAAAATGATTCCACCCGATCTGGAAACATGATATTTGAACGAATTCCATGACATGTTCGCAGCTTTTGTGTGCTGGCGCATCATATGCGAATGGTCAGGATAAACATCGGATAGCATCTTCTAAACATGATCAGAATCTAAACACAACGATAACTTTACATGTATGTCTAAACAAAACGTGTGCTTTTCGGTCAATTGCTGGGGCTGCGGGCTTCGCAGAGGTACATATATGCATTACATAA